CACAAACCAAAGACCCGAGACGCATGTATAGAGGTCCTAATTAATATATATCCCAAATATATTGCTTGTTTTTCTCCTACTTCTGGTTCATATTGGTATGATAACATTTCCCTTACTTGGTTCTCGTGAATATTTTCCATTACAATGACTCAAAAGCATTAATTTTTTTAGAAAACGTATTAACTCTCGATACATCATACACGCTATACAAAAATATATTGCTGTTTTGATTCTACCCTGCCATTTACGTCATACGGGTCAGGGCCGTACATAGCCTGCATTGCAGGCGGTCTAAAATACCGCCTGCTGGGTTTGGCAGTGTAATTTGATAACCGCCCACTTTTTTGTCCGGGTCCAATTAGCCAATCAGCAAACACTAAATATATTAATAATCGAACTGTCAAACACTCAAATTATGTTATTGTTTGGTCGCAAAATTGCAAATATAAAATATGTCGAAAGAAACGTCATTGAAAGTTTCAATCAGGACCTCTGAATAACGACAAGAGGTAGAAAAGCAAGCGCGCAAAATGTAAATGACCACTGTCGTTTGTGTATTAAGTGTGCTTTGAAACTAAAACACGGGGCAATAGATTTATATTTAAGGCAAGCAAAAGAAACGATTACGACAGTGGCAAAACCTTGGCCGATCATTAAGCCGATCACGAATTGTGTTCTTTAGGAATCGAAGTTAGTTCTACCTCGGAACTATCCGACCGAGTTTGTAAACCGTGTGGGCGAAAGATCCGAAACGCAAGCGAACTGATTGCCATATTAAATCAAACGAGGCATAAACGCGTTGCCTGTGTACATATCGAACAAATACTATAGACTGCATGTTTTATAAAAACGTCGGTTGCCAATATAAACTGTCTCTTCTCCCTAACGAAGCCGTTGTTAAAGAAAGCCTTGAATAGTTCAGAACCCAGATATGGGTCATGTTACCTACCTCCTCTGCAGGCCGCTTTCAAAAATATAAAATTGGTGGGAAACGAACGGAAAGGGTCGGCACTAGATCATAGACAAGATACGTACATATCTGAAACTGCAATACATACAGGTCAGCGGTATTTCAAGTGTTGTAAACTTTATATAAACAAACGCAATAAACATCATTACAAATTATGCATTTATACAAATAAACAAATCATTACAAATTGAGATTTATTAAAGATTGTAATAAACAAGAAACTATTATATATATATATTATATACAGTAGATAAATAGGTATGTGCAAAGCAAAATATATATTCACTTTTATTACCTATTTGGGGTTAATTTTAACTCATAAACATATAACCGTAGCCAACGTCCCAACATGTTTTTATTTTCCAAGGGAAAAATATAGCCCACATGTGGCATAGTATTTAATAATATTGGTGACATATTCATAGGAAAACACATGGTGGTCAACTTTGCACGTTTGTCGCTTTATATGCCTTGTGGAAGTGAGCAAATTTTGTTAAATATGTTCTCACATGTGGCATAGTATTTAGCATAATTGGTGACATATATTAACTCACATATTCATGGGAAAACACATGGTGGTCAACTTTGCATGTTTGTCGCTTTATATGCCTTGTGGAAGCGAGCAAATTTTGTTAAATGTTGAATTGTATTTGCTATTGAATACAAGGTGAATTAATATAATGAATAATGAACTCAATGTGTTTCGTTTTGGAGTTGACCACCATGCAAGTACTAAAGTGTCACATGATTAAGATTGAAACCCAACTACGGCTAGTAGTCCGGCTTGACTAATTGACTATTATAGCAACATAAATAATAAATATTTTAAATGCTAATGTACAGTAGTCGCACGACTTCCCTCACGATTTGAAGTTTGAGACTGGTTTTCTGTTGAAATTCGTCCTAATTTGCCTGTTGCGATTTTAGTTGAAAATGAGCACTTGCAAATTTGGCAATTACTGACTGCGTTGCTTGCTTTTTTGGAGTTAAACCGCAGCCATTTACACCGTAGAGTGACTATGTTTACACATTGTTTATGTTCTGAATAAGCAGAGAAAACCCCGCAACATTTTAATGCGAGTTTGTTTGTTAATATTTGGGTGCTGTCATTGGTTCTTTTTTGACAATTGACGCGCGAATGGGGCGTGTTATGAAAAGGGGCGTTTTACAAAATACCGGGCCTTGCTTGCAGGCCCACTATCAGTTCCCTTGGGCCTGCACGCGGGCTAGGAGTCTTGCAACTCAATGGGTTAATGAATCAGTCGGTTATTACAACCGATTTCAACTTAATTCATACTTAACATTCACTTTTATAATTAACCCATTTAATGGCAGTCAGGGATGGATCCAGCATGACCTGGTAGGGGGGGGGGGGGTGCTCTGCCTGCTCTGGTGCCAAGTTGTGTCAGTAACGTGTGCCGCCCGCCCATGAACTTGCTTCTGAACTACTGCAAAATCTTGCTTGACTACTGTATTTGAATTGTAATTGTTGTTCACAGTTCGCTTATCATCATATTATTACTCAAATTTCGTCTCTAATTATTTTTTTTGCTTTATCATAAAAAATATCACCCCCCTGCACCCCCTCTGGCCAGGGTTAGGGGGGTACACCCCCCCCCCCCAACATTAAAAACAACATTAAAAACAGACTAGGGTGTCAAAGGCTAGGTGGATGCTTCTTTGCCTGCAACATAGCATAATGTGGGGCTGCCACATTTATTTTATTAATTGACAACAATTATTTTAATATTAAAATATTGATTATTTTAACAATTATTTTATTAATAACAATTATTTTATTAAAATACTGATAGATTTCAGCAATGAAGGGAATCAATATTTTAATAAAATAATTGTTGTCAATTAATAAAATAATTGTTAGAATCTTGTTCTTAACATGTTAACATTATTAAGTGTATAAAATATGAAAAGTTGAAATATGTTGTGCTATAGCAGACACTTTATGTAGTGATTATGCATAGTACATGAAATGGACATTAGATGAGTCTCGCTACATGGCCTAGTTAGCCAGGCTTATCTTCAGTGTCTTGGTTAGCCAAGATCCTGACTCATATGATAACAATTTATATTCTGGCAAGGCAGGCTAGCCTGGCTCATGTGAACAGGGCCTAAGATGATACATCTTAACATCATATAGTAGGCATGCGAATATCATAATGGCAGATAATTGGCTGAAGGCCTTTTTCCATTATTGTGCATTTCTACCATTTAGTATTAGCACTTGTTTCTGACTTTCTGTTTATAGTTGTCTGTGTATATTGAAAAGCCAGTGATTTATATATTAATATGAAATTGTTTGAAATGTATATAATGAATGATTAGGGACCACCGGTCATTAATAATGGGAGGGGGCCCAGTGGCGTAACAGAGGAAGAGGGGGCCCTTATGCATATTTGGTGTGGGGGTCCCTGTTGACTGTTATTGTTTGACTGAGATCTTATATTTATATTGAATATTTATCAGTAGAATGGAAAATTCTGTGTCTATAACAATGATAATAACAGTCTCCAACATATGTAACAACTTTTAAGAATAACTTTTGTTCTATTTGAGATGGAATACCATCGTCAATGGAGGGTTTATTATTTAGCATTATTAATTTTGTATTTTTCCATTAATTCCATTGATAAAGACATACTATATTATTATACGCGTGTATTATACTGCAGTAAATCGATAAAGGTTTTATGTATGCATAATTTGGATCTTTCATATTAAAATATTGCACACACTGACAGTGACACGGTAGTATGAATATTTATATGACAAATTTGCATATTGAAATTAGTTCACTTACCAAAAAGTGCATTTGATTTGATACATCTCCAACCACTACTTGTCCTTATTTTGTACTCTTCAAATTTTTCAAGCATTTCTGTTTGTGAAGCGCGAACAAACACTCGGTCACTCTTCGATGGAAGCCTTATTGGTTTGGTTTCGCGCGTTTTTTCCAATTTCACGCACTAATTTATTTGAATTTTAAAGATGGTATACCGCTGACTCGTATGTATTGCAGTTTCAGATTTGTACGTATCTTGTCTATGATCTAGTGCCGACCAATTTTAAGGGAATACGAGCCAAGATGGCTGACGATATATAAATTAACAGTGAAATAACATGCATATAACATCTAAACAAAAATTTTTTACACGGTACTTTAATACCGATATTAATAACTATCATATTCATAGTTAGATGAAACAACACTTTTAATATAAACAATAAAAAATTTTGTTGCCATTGTCCTTATATGTCATTTTGATCTACCTGTTTTTGTCTGTTTTTGTAGCCATGGTGTGAATTTAAACTATGCGATGCTCAATCTCTGATTCGCAGTGGCGTAGTGACGTATAAGTAATTTAATAATAAGAAAGAAAATTACAAAAATTTGACAGTTGCCCGCAGGTAGCAATAGTTATTCGAGGCAGACAACTAGAAGACTGTACTACGAGTAATCTATGGTAGAATATTTTCAGTTTTCACGAAAACACAATGAAATGTTATTGAATTTTAAACTATTTCAATTATTTTTAAGCCTATTTAATTAATACCACTAACTATCGGGAGTTATTTGGGACTCCTATGATATGGCTGGGAATCGCTAATAGATTAGCGATTCCCAGCAGCCTTTCGCGCTCGTATTCGTCTTTTCCGCTTTGCTCGGGGGACAACCTTAATTGAAATAGCTGTATACACTATTAAGGGGGAGTATAAAAGTGAAAATGTGTTATTTGACTCTGCCTTTCTTAGGAGACTAGTTTTATGGTATGGTTTGTCGCACACATGCAGTCGCCATAGAAACACGAAATATGTCTTAAGATAGGGTCATGCAGATCGATGGATATTTTATAATTATTTCGCAACACATTGAGAACATTTACAACATATATCACTTTCAAGAGTGTAACTTGATCTATTAAAACCTTTAATTAATTAAAAAACAATTATTTCGCTGCGAAAAAGCTTGATTAGATTCAAAACAAAAGTGAAAATTTGGGAGAAATTTGATGTGGGCGAAATTTGCATAGCAATTGCAACCGACCGCCGCATACACACAAAAGGCTAAGAATGTCAATAGAGATCACTCAGCATACATCATACAAGCTTCATGCTGAGTTAATGAATCAACCATAAATAATAACTCCTTCGCTTTTCGATGCTTGTTGTGATTGTTCTCTCGTTATCGCTATCGTTATATCAGTAGGATCACTGCAGCTACAGACTGTCCATCCACAATGCAGAATATAGCTATAGTCTTCGTTATCTCTGCTTCGATTTTATTCCACAAAAGCCTATGTTATCCTACCGGAGCGCCTTCTTCGCAATGTACAAGCATGACACCAAGTCATGGGGTTGTTGCTCAAGCAGGAGCAAGTCCGTACGAAGTTAAGGTCAACAGATCGTATTATATGCCAGGGGAAACTGTCAGAGTTTCCATCGAAAGTTCGGGTGATAATATCAAAGGCTATCTGATCCAAGCAAGACAAGTAGGAGGAAACTCAGCGACGGGAATGTTTGCAGCGGCTCCCGTAAATGGGAAGTACGTGAATTGTGGCAATAGCAAGGTAGAAACTGCATTTGTTAATCATTTTATATAAACTTTTAACTTCTTTGCAAATGTATATATGTAATAAGTAAAATACAAATACCGATACCAATTTAGCGTTTCTTAGGAAATTCGCTGCGAAAACATGAGCCACTTACTATATTTAGACTTTACAATTATATATTCAACAGGAATATCGACGATTTTACTCGGCATATTAATGAACACACGCATCAGACATGTGCGTCGCTAAATTGACCATTTGAGTAATAGACTAAATTTTGATCTAAACAAGTCTAAAAGCTTTAATCTTTTGACATTTAGTGCTATAGGTTAAAAGGGCAGTGTCACGGCGCTGATTGGCTAAAATAGACGGCGCAAAGAAACGTTTAAAATTAATGCTACATGATTGGAAAAGATGCAACAGCCTTCAATTTTTGTATCTGCGAAGCAGATATATTGCTATCGCAAACGTACCGTATGTTAACACATAGCCATTATATAATTGCTTATAAGAGCTTATATCAATTATATAAGCTCTTATAAGCAATTATATAAAGGCTATGTGTTAACATACGGTACGTTTCATGATAATTTAAGCCAATCAGCGATTAGTTTACATCAATTGTTTACATCGTGCCCGCATCTAACCTGCGAACGGGCATCGTTTGGCCTCGTGAAATCGTGAATATTCTTTGCCATTTTGGGCTTTTGGCTTCAAAAATATCTTGATTTTAATCATGAATTGGCTGTCTTGTTTTCACCATTCTACTTGCGATATTACTCCGAAGTTATCATGGAAACTTATCCTCATCTGGTAAGTAGTCAAATACCACATATTTTATTATCATTGTGTCGAACTAGCATTAGCAGGCAATATTGCCAATGAATTAAATCCTGGTCATGTATTTCTGTAATACAAACATAATTTTTCAAATGCTAATAAAAAAATCCCCACCCTTCCTCCTCATTACATTGTCATTTTGCTTTCTAACATAAATGTTTTTGTTTAGAGATTAATACAAGAATAATGAATAAGCTGGATATTGGCTAGATGATTTTGTCAGAACAACCCACTTGCATTAGTATGAACAATAACTTAACAGCTACAATAATCATATTATATGGATGGATGAGATCAATGGCACACAATGTACAAAACTAAACTTGTGAAACCTTTACTCAAACCGATATTCTCCCACAACACAAATCGTTTTTGTGTGGGTATGTTGTGCTAAAGTGAACAGTGACGTGTGGTATATCATTAACTGCACAGGATTGGAATTGAATTAATATATACTTCACTCATGACCTTCAAAACTTTCTCTACTATTCAGTGTTTTTCAATATATGATTGACTCCTTGCTACAGTAATCGCTCAAATAGTTTGTTGTGTTACTCAACAGTTAATTTAACATTGGCAAGTGTAAATAACAAGTGGCAGAACTTTTGCTTGATATGATTACAATAAAGTTTTGAAAATTCGATGAGTATGGATTGAATTCATGAGTGGCCGTTTACTAAATAGCCGGCTGTATAGACACTTCGAATATTGTTTGCATGAAAGTTTTATTTCGTGACTGCATAATTATCCATTACAATCATAATCACATTATAAAATTAGTATTATTTTTTTGGCGGCAAGGAGGCAGTTGCCCCTGCTGCCCTCCCTGCTGTGTACAGCCCTGTTAGATGTGTATTATGTTTGACTTTAAAATCTTATTTGCTTTTATATTTATTATAATAAGTGATGAAGTATTTCAATTGTCCCATGTCACCTTCATTATTCAGTTCCTTTCAAGAAAATACAAAATGTGAATCAAGTTTTTTCGCAGATACATATACGCCTCGCGTACCTATTTTTAAAACAAACCAATGATGTCCTGCATAACGAAGGGTTATATATAGTATATCGTATTTCACTCCTAACTTGATTAATTGTTGGCAGACAATTAATTTTTCAAGTTCGCGCATATTTTGGATGCGCAGTTGAACCGTGGCACTGCCCCTTTAAGTATTCGTTTAATATTTGACATAAACAGTATCACGAATACAGCACAACATTAAAAAGCTTTTCTTTTCTAACAACGAATATAGCAAACCTCGGTTGACGGAGCTGCAACTAGATCCCTTTTCCCTAAAATTATACACACAAACCAGCGAAGATTAACAAATAGATAAACGGAAAGTAAGTTTTAGGCTTTATCCTTTGTCCTTATTTAACAAAATCGATTTAAATTGTTACGTTTTTCTACCACTAAGTGATGATAAATTATTGTTAATAATTTTATTATTTTTTGGATGCTCAGAATGCAGGAAATAGCATTTCCGGGTTTCAAATTTCTAAAATTTTCTGGGGATTATCCCTCTAATAAGTAATGATAAATTACGGTTAATATTCTTTTTTACTTTTTGTGCATTTTTTCCTTCTTTTATTTCAAATACAAGTATAGTCAACACAAATTTTAGAGCAAATTTGGATGCTCAGAATGCAGGAAATGGCATTTCCGTGCTTCAAATTTCAAATATTTTCTGGGGGAGTACACCCCCACACACGTGACCATTGCTATCCTCCTCTAATTATAAATGATGGTTAATATTTTTTTACTTTTTGTGCGTTTTTTCCTTTATTTATTTCAAATACAAGCAGTGGCGTAGCCAGCCCGACAATTTAGTCCCGCTATGCAAATTCAAAATTATTATCAGTATTAATTTCTTTAGAAATTGATTGTTTTCACAGTCAATGAATACGAAAATATTTGCATAGCGGCACATGAGAAGCGCGACGTTTGAAACAGGCCTAAACTGCTTGCTTGGTATGCTTGGTATGTTAAAATGACCAACAATATTTAGATATTCGCATTACTTCGCATTATGATATTGCTAAACGTTAAATTATTTTTAACTTAGTAATGTCATAATTTTCAATAATGTTGAGACGCCTCAACACGCTAAAAATATCATGAGTTTTGTATCCAGTGTTTTCATGATCCATGGCACTAAAGGTCTGTGGATGTTGCGAGGTTTGTGCTGAGCTGCTTGAATCAATTACCGAATGGAAAGCCATAGTTTCTTCATGTGCATGACTTTGAATCCCCCTGTTCCCTCCCTAGAAGAGCCTGCCGCGCTGGCTTTTTGTATGTATATACTGTAGTTGTGCTGAGCTGCTTGAATCAATTACCGAATGGAAAACCATAGTTTCTTCATGTGCATGACTTTGAATCCCCTATTCCCTCCCCTAGAAGAGCCTGCCGCGCTGGCTTTTTGTATGTATATACTGTATGTGTCATGTGTTTGTCTGTCAACAGGATATTACTAAAAATATCAAAAACACTACAAATACATGCATGCAATACGTACATAGTAATTAGTAAGAAAAACAACTATATTTTCCAAGCACAAAGTATGCGAAGTGACTGTTTAACGTTTATTCTTTATATTTTTCAAATATATATGTTAGGCATGTTATTGCTGCGGAGCGAGCGAGCCTGAAGCGAGCGAGCGATGAAGCAGCCTAATTTGTGCAGAGAGGTTTCTGTTCAGTACATTTTGCTAGCGCGTTGCATTGTGGTCGTGCTCAGTTGTTGTGCGCAATACACATCCACCCGATTCCACGTGCTTTATCCACCCGATTTCACGTGCTTTGACTAGTGTGTAGTGTAGTGTAGTGTAGTGTAGTGTAGTGTAGTGTAGTGTAGTGTAGTGAGAGTAGATTGGTTTTGGTTTCTTACTGTGTATATCATGTGGTAAATGCGCCTAACTCCACTCAACATGGTTTCATTCCTGGAAGGTAAGGTCATGCACAACCCAGCTAGTCGAAGTTTTACACTACATATTGGATCCATTTTAGACTCTGGCAAACAAACCGATATAATCTTCATGGACATGTCAAAGGCTTTTGACAAGGTCAGCCATACAGCTCTGATAAACAAACTCCAACAGTATAACATTGGCGGATCTCTTCTCCAATGGTTCACATCGTATGTACATGACCGCCAACAGCGCCTCACAACTCTTGGCGCTACTTCTTCCAAAAAACCAGTGTGCTCTGGTGTTCCGCAAGGCAGTATCTTAGGACCAATACTCTTCCTCCTGTATATGAATGACTTAACAGACGCTGTGACGAACTCGACAGTTGCGTGTTTTGCAGATGACACCAAAATCTTCCGTAGAGTTGACTCCATCACCGATGCTATGTTACTCCAGGGCGACATCAATAACCTTCAATCCTGGTCCACGTCAAACGCTCTCGTGTTTAACGAAGGAAAATGCAAAAGTATTAGCATTACCAGACGTAGTCAACCAATCCATCATCTATATAGCATCAAAGGCAAAGAACTTGCACTTATACCAGCTGAGAACGATCTGGGAATTTGGATTGCGAGCGATCTAACCTGGTCTAAACACATTTTAGACCGGTGTACCCGGGCCAACAAACTCCTTGGATTTATAAAGCGATGTTCTGGGGGAAATAAGCGACGCGAGGACCCGCCGGACTCTGTACCTGTCTTTGGTTCGGTCGGTTTTTGGTTACTCGAGCCAGGTTTGGTCGCCTAAAACCGTGACCCTCATCCAACGGAAGGAACGGGTCCAAAGAAGAGCAACGAAGTACATTTTAAACCTTCCGTACTTGTGCAGTGAGACTTATCGGGAACGACTTGCCAGTTTGGGCCTCTTACCGCTATCTTACTGGCATGAATACTTGGATCTCGTGTTCTTTTTCAAAGCGGTGAACGGCTTGGTCGACGTGTCCCATGACGTCCTCCCCGAAGTCATGTCCCAAACCAGAACGACCAGATCCTCCAGTGGCAACCAAATCTCCTTCCGTCCGGCCAAATGCAAAACCTCTACCTACCAACGCTCCTTCTTTATTCGTGCATCCAGAACTTGGAACTCTTTACCAACTACACTAAGATCTCCTGACATCAATATTAGGCAATACAAAACCGATTTACAAACTTACTACCTGACAGCCCTGAGAGAATGCTTCGACGAAGAAGATCCGAGGACATGGAAGACTATATGTCTGAAGTGTAACACTAGTCGTTACTTACGTTCTGAACTAACTTATTGTTTTTAGTCTCCTGTCCATGTACTGTATGTTATATATTCTGTACTGTATGTGTATTTTTGTATAGGGCCCACAATAATTGGTTTACACTGTTGTGGTGTCCCTGCCATTTTTGTCCATGTTTATTGTCTAGATGTCTATTTGCTGTTC